CCCCCTCCCCCTTCCTCTTCCCCTTCCCCTTCCCCTTCCCCTTCCCCTACTCTTCCCCTTCCCTGCCTTGCATTTTCCAGAAAGATACAGCACTATGGCCTTTGTTATGAACAGATGAGAGAGGTGGTTAGATTTTAAAGTCTGTGTGTTATTAAGAAGTTACCTCTACACATTAGGATGGAATAGAGGATACAGTCCTGTGAAGACAGTACAAGTCGCAGCTGTGTAGTCAGGTCTGTTAAATGTCACACTGAAGCATCTACTCCTGAGCCTCTGAGACTGACAGTTAATTTTAAAAATGAACTGGATTTCTTCCTGCATGGTGGCAGTGTTATAGCAGCTAGAATAAGGTTGCTTATACAACTGAATAAGACCTGGGCATGGATGTGGAGGGAAGGTGTTGGCTGGAAGAACATGTGCTGGATATGTGTTTAGACATCCCAGATAGCACTTTCCAGTGTGAAACAGATACACATGCCCATCCAGCATCGCACTCTTACCTGTTTACTTTAATGCTGCTGGAACCTAAACACACTCCTGCTTCCCTCCAGTTGCCATGTAACAGCCCTGTCTGTTGTCACAACCCAACTCTCACACTACACCAAGACTTCTTGGTTGTTTTGAACTGCTCTTGTCTGTTTTTCTCTCTCCTCTATCAAAGGTTAAGTTTCAAGTGACTTAGTATGCTCTTTCTGGGAAAAGTAGACTTTCTTAAATAGAATAATTTCTTTGAGTGTTTTTACCTCAAAGTTGCAAATGTTAAAAAAAAAAAATGTTGGAAAAAAAAAGTTGCAACCTAAAGTGACTATTTTCTGTTTGCACAGTTGATTTCATGCACACTAGGGAGCATTTCAGACTCTCTGTGTTTAACTGCTAATAGGATTTGCAGCTATGTTTGTGAATTCCAGATACCCCATTTACTTCACCGAGCTTCAAGTTTATACACTCTGAAGAACTAGAATGAAATATTAGCACCATACAGCTAAACAGAGAGAGTTTGTACAGTATCCTGCACTATGTTTTTCTCCATTTTCCACTGGAAAAAGGACAAAGGCACAATGGGGCTAAAATAAATCTATAGCAAAGTATGGGCTTTAGAAAACATTTTCTTTACTTCCAAAATACGCTGACTCTCATATAATTTATGTGGAGCATGCAGTTGATTTAGAGAAGACCTTAAAATGACCCATTAATCCAAATTCAGTTGGAAACTGGAATAGCTGTAACTGATTTGTTTTCACAACAGCAGTACACAGAAATCATAAGAACAGACTGAGAAGATAACATGGGTAAATTGTAGATGTTTTCCCACAGGATCTTCAGCCAGTTACAAACACTTTTGTAGTTTTCAAAGAGATACAGCAAAGATAAAAAAATATAATTCAAGTATTTTCCTTGCCTACTTTATGTGAACGAAACTATTGCTTACTCTTTTTTTTTTTTTTTGTGATTTAAATGATCATTTCACTTTATTTTTCCCCTTTTTTATATTCCCCTCCATGTGTTTATATTTCTAGCCCATCCCTTAGTTCCCACACATCAGCACATTGCCTACTTATTAGGATTTACAGCATAAGATTCAGTTTAAACCAGAAAAGAACTGAACTCTAATTGGACCAGTCCTAAAGCAGAAAATGGGGATAAAGCAGTTATTAACTTGAAATTTGTAGGCCTTGACCTAAGTTAATAAATAAATATTTGTTTTTATACCAGAGTTGGTTTTTAATCCCCTAAATATTTGTTCATACTAGCTATCAGTTCCAGAAACATCTGCAGCCTGGGGACTGCTGGAGCTGCTTGGTCTGCAGCTGCCAGACTTGGTACGAAACCAGAGGCAGGAGGCTGGGAAACTGTCCCTAAAGGTGGCCATGACATATATGGAGCTATCACTTTGTCCCTTCCTGGAGGACATGCACAACCTTCATACCATATTTTGTGGGTACACACATGCTCTGCAGTGCCCAAGAGGAGCACCTCTCTGTGCAGCCCCTCTCAGCTGACTCAGAATAACAACAGTCCAGATGACAGCCTTGGAATGATGGCAAGCCACAAATTATCTGGATGTGCCAACAGGGAAAAGCAAGTCTGTCTCATGGCATGGGCAATCCTGTGCCCACACAACTGCCAGAGACCCTCTTGCTGATTCTCTTCCAGAAGTTTGTCCTTAGTCCTTGGTTTCCATCTTCATCTCTCCCCTCCAGTAGGATAATATGCCTGTGGTGGCCTGAACACCCTATTACCCTCATTCTGTGTAGGTGGCTCCAGTGGCTCACCCACACAGAAGGCCTCACATCTCTTCCTTTGTCTGAACTTGTATGACCTTTCTACCGCAGGTGGGGTTCTCTGTGCTTCCTGAGAAAGCCCACCATGAAAAGTGTAAGGAAGCACACAAGCCTTCAGTGTGATAAGCACATGAAGTTTACGGTCATCAACAGGGTTTTTAATTGTCATTTGCAATGTGAGCAGATCCACTTCTCATCACATGATTCGCTTGGATACAAAAGGCTAGTCTTGTCTGGGCTGGTCACATGGATGCTTCTGTATTTGTTTGCTGTGTTTTTCTTGTTATTCATAATTTATTTAGAACCAACCCCATTCAAAGTCAAAACAAAGACAGTATGTTCAGTCACTCAAATTATAGGCCATTCCCGAGGGCAATAACCGAAGACTACAAAAATTCATACAATGCCTTTAAAGAAGAAGGAAAAACAGCAATCTCATTATTTGGCAAGCAAGAGCTATGATTTTGTTGAGACTCGCTTAAAGGAAACATTATCAGATTTTGTTTTGTCCTCTCCCAAGGAATCTGTGCATAAGCATAAATTATTCAAGCATTCAGGATTTAGGATATGCCAGAGTAAAAATGTCCATCACTGTATTCTCTATTTGCATTATGTTCCTCAAAATAATCCTCCTGTGCTGGGCTGCCTAATGACCCACAAAATGTTGGCCCGCTGATTGCATGAAGTGACTTTCTATCTCATGAAAAGATGGTTCATGTCGGAGTTATGAACCACAGAAGTGCAGGCTAGGAAAACTGTTCAGAAAGCTCTGGGTTGAGACAGGAGACATCTGAATGTTTACAGCTGTTGAAAGACTCAGCAACAAGCTTCAGAAGAAACCACAGGACAGTGGTTACCTTAATAAAAATAAAGATGTTTTCCCTGGAGTTGTACTTGATGACTTGAAAGTGGTCTCTTCAGGCACAAGAGGATGATGCATACTGTTCATCAGCCAGCTGGTGCTCAGGTATGGCCTTCTGGTTGCTGAAATGAGCTATAGCATGAGGGGGAGGTAGGGAAGATTTGCCATGGAAATATTATAAATGCCTTATCCCAAGTAGTCTTCTTCAAACAGACTCCTTTTTTTTTTTTTTTTGCTTCTCACAATCTGCAGTCAAAAGTACACAGTTGCAGATCAAAAAGGTATTTCCTGCTAAATTATCATTCTTGCTGCTATACCTACAGCACAGCACATCTAAACTTAGCTAACTGTAGCCTCTTGCATTTTGTTTTAATTTATTGCTTAGACATACCATACCTTTCTTTCTTATGATCAATCTGATAGCCATTTTTGTATACTGGGAGAATACTGTGGGGGAGGATTCCTGTTCTTATACTCATTTCTACATATCTCTTTTCAGCCACATTTGGTCATATGCCATTATAGTCATCGTCATCGTCCCCCATCCCCATCCCCTGTCCCCCGTCCCCCCCCGAAAAAGTCTGTTTCTAAATAACAGCAAACATAGACAGACCTTGATTATGAATAGTTTTGTAACACTCTTCTTCAATGCTGTAGTTTTGGCCGTTTACATCAGTAGTAAAGAAGCCTTTTTCCCTGGGTACCTTTCCCAGGTGGATAACCTGAGGTAGTGTTGTGGGTGGATCAAACTCATCTTATTTCACAATGGCTAATGAGCAGCCATGGTATGGCAGAAATTTTTATGACCTCCACTTAGCTTAATCTGCAATCAGCTACCATTTCTTAAGTTAAATTGCTGACTAAAATTCACTCCTATGGACCATTTGAAAAACCTTAACATACCTTGTTCACTGTTGTCTTTACTTCTGGACTGTATGTTGACCTTTGTGTGAATTCCCTCTAATTTGTCAGTGAAGGTATAAAAATGAGCATCAAAAATAGTTAAGCAGAAAGCCCTAATCATACTTTTTATCCCTCATCAAAACCCAGTAAAAGCAGGAGAAAACAAATAATCTGATCCAGTAGTTCAGTAAAACCATCTTTATATAGAATGCTTTTTTTTTTTTTCCAAAGTACTAATTTAAATAACTTCTGTAGATGAAAAAACCTACATATCCTCCCTCATGAATTTAAAGAGAAAAGGCCGAGTAGTTCTCTCACTCGTTCCCATGACACAGCGAAGCTCTGCACAATGATCAAACTTTTACCATAAATCGCAGTCCATATGACCTTTTCATTTATTTATTTTTAATAGCTATCAAAACCAGAGGAGGCTTTGACACTATTGTGTGAAAGGGCAATGAGTAAGGGTCAAGTCCTTTTTTTTTTCTGAAGTGAAACAGGCTGGAAGTGGGTGTCTTCTGCACTCATAGAAGAGAACTGAATTTCAGGGTAGGTGTGTTTTTCACCCTGGCTAGTCTGATCAGAGATTTCAGTTCTGTTGATCAACATTGCCCGTGCTGCTGCCTGACCCATCTGGATCTGATCCTGTAACTATTAACGCTTCCTTACTCCAACAAACAATCATATCAAATTAATTACATCTCTCTTTCCTCTCTCTCCTTCTCTCTTCCCCCACTTGAATGAGAGATAGGATTCCTGTCTGGACTGGACTTAACATTTGCCAGTAAATGCTGTTAATCCCAGAGGCAGGGAAATCTTCCATCTCATTTTCTCTTCTGCCTGAAAATATCCCTCCTTTTTCTCCCCACCTCTCTCCTGAACACTTTCAGAGAGATAGATAACAGCCTCTCCTCTGGGACGACTGGGACTGACTGGGGCACCCAGCGGGAAGACACTCCCAGTCAATTTAGCAGGTCAGCCACAGCACAAGTATGAACTTGATAGAGGCATGATCTGATCTACCCACTCTCTTTTCTCCTCTGGACATCAGCACCTTGTTTTGCCTGCAGCATCTGAGTGACTAGCAAGGCTATGGAGATAAAATTATTGATCAGATGAGGTCTGAGAAAATCCAAGGATGAGATGGAGAAGCAAGCAAAAAAAGCTAGAACTGAGCATCCAGTGGACAACTGGAAACTAAAGCCCATATTTCTCCTTGGGTTTGTACAAATTTTCTACTTTTATATCCATGAAAGTGACTCACGACTCCCTCAGAACTGAGGTTCGGGGTGACGAGGCAAAACCTGGCAGACATCCTTCCCATGCTGTTCCTGCTCTTTCTCCCCTCCCATATGGCACTTTTCTTTAAAACACTAGAATCGATTCTGGGGAGAGTTTTGAAATGGCAACATAAAGGCAAAAATAGGAACTTCATTCCAAATGATTTTCCTATTTAATTTGATAGAGAGGAGTCTGACAGGTAAGGTTTTCAGGTTGCTGGACTTTGCAAAACTCTGAAAGACTTTTAAAGGAGAGAAGCTTGTTAGGTACATTGCTGCAAATGTCCTTCTGACCAGTCATACTGTGCATGTGTATCACCCACCAACCATTGAAGTTCCTTGATGATTTCCATATACATTGTTAGAAAGGTAATGCTCTCAAATTATTATTTTTTTTTCCTACGAGTCATGAAAATAAGCAACTAGCTAGAGAAAAGAAACCCTAGAAGTATGTAGGGTTGAGGTGGTCTCCTCATTAGACATCAGAGAATCCATACCAAACACCCCAAACAAAGAAAAGGTTTCAGTCTGCGCTTCTGCTTTATTTGATAATGTTGAATCTAATGCAGCCATAAACAACTACTTTTCTATTTTGAATTTCTATAAAGAATAGGACCTTGCTCATTTTTAATTGCTAAAAAATGTCTGCTTCTAGCTGTATCTGGTGTACATGCTGCACATATATTGGCTTTTTTTCAGATATATTATCTTATAGATAAGAAACCTCAAAATATCCCTATTTTACTTTGTCTGTATTTTAAATTTTCATAATGGTCTGAAAGGTACTAAGGGTTTTGTCAAACAAATGTAGAGTTGCTATTTGTTAGCTAAAAATCTGTTACCTCATGTTCACAAGGAAATGTTGTTCTGGTTTATATGAGTTTCTGGTCTCTGTCAGAGCTCCTAGGAACTATGTCAATGCAGATAAATAATAACTGAATCTAGTGCCAAATGGCATAGGTGCAAAAATAGTTTGTACCAGCTGAGTAGAAAATAGATGCTTCCCCCTCACTTTGCAAGGAAAATTTGATTTTCTGAAAAAAGAACAGAAACCTCTAGTTTATAGGTTTTTATTAAAAAATAAACAACAAAACAAACACAAAAAAGACCACCACCAAGAACAAATGTATTTTAGAAATGCCTCTGCAGTGACTCTTGAGAGCTGGTTATTAGCTCTCTCACATCGCCTTCCTTTCTGCACACAGCAGGCTCACTGGGCAAGCTGCGCCTGTAGCAGACCTTGCAACTCCGCTGCTGAGGAGTCGCATTCCCCGGGGAAGCAGTGAGGCAGGGCAGAAATCAAGCTGAGAGAGGAGAACCACTGAACCACAGCTTTCATAAGGTCCTAGGGTCAAGGTTTCAATTCATTTAAGTTGTTTTATCTATAAATTAAAAATTCATTTCAGTAAGAAAATATTTAATTGGGGAAAAAAAAATGTTACTTTTATTTTCACCAAAAATTATTCTGAAGGAAAATGTTGGACTAATCTAAGCAAATTTTGGACTAGCCTAATGTGAGTATATCAGTCCTGTAGGGATGGTCTGTGATTCCCAGGATCTGGGCAAAGAAAGCAAGAATCTACGCAGCCACAAAATTTAAAACTGAGTAATTTACTGCTGCAAGACTGCATGCCTCTCCTAGTTCTTAGTTTTGGTAGAGGATTATTGTGTGATGTTTCCGTTAGAAACTCTGATCTTTAAGAGAAAGATGGCTTGTGTTGGACTTTGATGGTGATGCCCATTTAACATTTTGTTCAATGGTTAATATATTTTCCTTCAAGCTCCAGATCCTGAAGACACAAGACTAAGAATCTCAAATTTCATTTTTAAAAACACCTTCAGACCTTGTGATAGAAAGTCTGCAAAGGTAACATCTATTCCTTCCCTTCCCATGCATATCCAACCTTTCCTTATACCACAAGCTCAAGTATCGGGAGACCATTAAGACAAGCTAGAGACACTGTTTTTAACCTCTAGTTTGTTGGAATCTGCCTCATTGTGTCTTTTTTGTAACACCTGGCATTGGCAATGATTAATGCTGCCAACATTTTTCTTGCCAGGAAAGATGTTTCTTTCTTCTCTGGTGTGCCAGCAAAGCCTGGAGACACCTCCTGCTCCAGAGCTGCCTTTCCTCCCTCACCTATGGGGAAAGAAGCTAAGAAGGAAGACAGAAGTCTCATGGGTCTTTCAGGAGTAGAGGGGCATTTCCAAGAGGAAGGAAGGAAAAGCATCAGTTTACAATTTTCTTGTGAGTCAAGAGCAATAGACAATGAGACAAAGAGCTCCAAACACCTTTCCCCTTTCTTTTCCACTCCTGTCAAAATGAAGATGCTGATAAACTCTCTTCTCTCCTCTGGCACAGCTCTATACCTCCACAAACTGCCCCAAGAAAGCCATAATCAGAGTAATTTGATTGACCTACAGCCTGCTCTAAGTTGATCCAGAAAATGAGGACTGCCAGGATGAGGCCAGCTGGGTTATCTCAGCAGTCCGTACCTAGGCTGTAGGTTAAGACACCTCACTTACATTACATCACCTCACTGATGCAATGACCTGGGTTAAGCTTAGCTCTACATGGGGCAGATCTCCACCTGCTTCTCATTTTTTGTTCTCCCTGTGAGATGATCTCCCTGGATCAGCTAGGATAGGGTTAAGTTTCCCCAGCAGGGGGAAGGGATCTCCAGCCAGGTTATTCATACCATGCTGATGTCAGGTTCAGCGTGGGAGCATGGGAACTTTGTGGCTTTGGTCACAGGAAAGCAGGTGCAGGCTGTCTGTAACCATTGTGGTATTTATATATCTTTTGTCTTGTTTACTGTTATTACTGTTTACTGTTGTTATCATTGCTACTGTTGTTGTTCAGATTGCTTATTACACTGTTGTATTAAATTTCTTATTTTAAACCGGGGTTTATGTCTCACTTCCAGCCTGACCGGCTGAGGGTGTGGGAGGGACAATGGCAACGTGGTCTCTGGTCCCGGCAGGGCCTAAACCAACACAGATGGGATGACCAAGAGAGGCATTTTTGGTTGGCCATTTGCAGCTGGCTGTTTTCCAGCTCCTTTTCACTTCGTGAACACAACAGAAGTGCCAGATCAGATTTGAGAATCTGGCCTATTATTTTTTCATTATTGTCCCAAGGATAGAAGAGTACCCTCTTCACTTGTCAGCAACTAATAGGTCACAAGTTGGCCAGTTTACCAAACATGAGAACAATTTGCCAACAGCAGGGACTTACACCCTAAAAGGAGAGAACATACTTTCAGCTGGCAGCCTCCTCGCCACCCTGAACAAAGGAGAGATATAGGGTATCAGTAGCTGCTTTTAAGTTGTCCTAAGTGCTAACTTGTTTCTGATTTTTAGGCTGTCTTTAAGTCTTGCTTGTCTATTGCTAACAACTGCTCAGTGAGCTAATACTTCTTAAGAGCTGCTATCAGTCACCCACACTGCCTGATCTGGAAAACAGACATGAAGTTTTTCGTAGCTCGATCCTTATCCAATGCATGGGTGGGAACCGGCCACCAATGATGAAGCGTGGAAGGATTAAAGCCAAGTTATTCTGCTGCCCATTGTCAGGCTTCAGCAGTCTTAAATGTGCTGAAAGGGCCTAGATTTATTTCATTTCAAATGACTGTGGTGCCAGCTGCATCCTATGTGAACATAGAGACAAAATTTCCTACCTAACCCTAATGGTATCTTAGTATATTCTAATTGCATATTCTTCCTTTCCTTGTATACAGCAGTTACAGACCTCAGAAAGAAATGCCAACATTAGACAAAGGGGGTTTAGAAGTTATACAGAGGTGAGGAGGAGGAGGAGAGAGAAGGCTTAGAATGAGAGGAGGGAGTCACACCCCCTTCCTCCTGCTGCTCACTGCTAACACTCCCCAGCCTCATGTCTCTGCAACCTTTCCCTTGGATCCCCTGATGCTTTGCAACGCTCTTCCACCGGAGAGATGCCTAGGATGGGAACTTGTAAGGCACTGAAATGTAGCCCTCAGCTGTGGTTCATGCTGGGAACAGCCCTTGGCCCTTGCATTGGGCCCTATAGCGCATTTTGACAGGGGAGCAGGGGCGGGCTTTGGCTGCCCAAAGTTATTGGAGTTATAACAGTAACACTATTCTTATTAAGGCAATGAACTGAATGTGGTTATTCAGGGTATTTGTGGGAAGATTCACCTGCCCTGATATAATGACCTGCAAGTTAGGGAGTTCATTCAGCTGTCAATGCAAAGGTGGCTCATGCGCTGTGGGGTGCCCTGGGGTACACCAGGCAGCCACAACAGCACGAGTCACCTCCAGCTCCTGTCTCCTCTTTCCTGCCCCGCACAGGTGTCTCAGAGAACCCAGGATATATCCAGTAGCACTAGGCAGCTCCCTGTGGACAAGTGCCTGGAGCCCTCAAGGGCTGAGACTAATATAGTCTCTTTTTCTAGGAATGAATAGGCTGCTCTAGAGGACAATTAAACATCTAAGGGAGGTCAGATGAATTGCCCTCTGGAGGTTCATGTTTCACTTCTTTGGTCATGCCCATAGACTTTAGACTTACAACTTTGTTGTATAAAGTGAGACAAAACCCTTACGCTGCAGCAAAATGTGGTGCAGGCAAAGTAGATTGAAGTTAGAATTTTCTTTTAGGATCAAGTTACAGATCAAAACTATTTACAAACCTCCATTTGTCCTCTTTTACTACTCACACATTACCTTTCTATTTTCATGCTTATCTCTCAAGTTTCCTTTCTAACAGCTGCCAAAAGGACAGCTACTGATATCATCCACTGTGCCATGGCTGCTTCCCAGCACACCATGCTTAGCCCTCAGGTGAAATTTCTAGGAGGTGAAGAGAGAACAAGCGTTGGTGTGAGTGTGAGTGGGCGAGCATACGCTTTATAACAACGCTGAGATGCTGAAAAGCAATAGCTGCAATGTTTATCGTATCAAGGCAGCGTTACCAAGAGACACCTCACAGCATGGCAGACACACGCCGTTTGAGTCTCTATGCCCTCTGAAAGGTAGTGGGTGTAACGTTTTATATCTCTCTCTTACTCAGACACGAAGGACGAGCAGCCTAACAAGGTCACTTTTGTTAGAGGCATGCATATTTCCATCTGCTCAGTCGGATGGCAAACAAAGTGCCTGGCACAAAGCAAGGCACTTTAAAAAGGAATTGTTTAAGAGGGAGTGTCTAGGCAAAGCTAGGAAAATGAGTGGTGGCTAGATACCAATCACTGAGACAGGTAGAGATACATTAAATCAAAGCCTCTTGTATTTATCAAGCAAAACAGCAAAAGCTACTTTGATTTTCAACCCCCTTCCAGCTGTATTGCTTTCCAGGGCACTATTAGCAGAGTGGCAGAGGAGATGTGTAAGCCTTTAGTGGTGATGTACCCCCAAAAGCTGAAAGTTCTCTCCTTCACTTCTAATGCAGAACTTGAGCTGCAAAATGGTTTGTGGCTGCTGCTGAGTCTTTGTTAGACTTAAGCGAGCACTGTTTCATCTGTGCTGTCTGAGTCTCAGACAGGAGAGACACAAGACATAATGCTAGTTTAGGTTGCAGCTTGAATTTCTTTCAGGGTGGATGAAGATAGGAACGACTTTTCTGTCTTTGAGTTGGGAAGGCACAGTCTGAGAAAACTCAACTCTGAACATTGGTTACACTAAAGCCCTTTGAGATAAAAGCTGTAACTACTAATGTTTCATAACCTGGACTCAAGGATCTTCAGAGAACAGAAGTTTCAAAACCCATTAGCTTACAAAACCTAGTATCCTGAAATCCTGTGATAATAGAAATGAAGGTGTCCATTAGGTTCAATGTTTAAAACATTTCATTTGCTTAAATATTATTTTCTTTGCTTAAATGTTATTTTGGCTAAATATATTAAACAACTGATTGTACATGCTTAGATAAGGCATGGGCATTGCAAAGGAATTGAGAAGACCGGTGTGTCTAATTACAGTTTTTCTTTTCAGACTTCTGGGGACATTTAGTAATCATTATGGAAAGGACATGAGAGTAGAGAATAATGAAGATACAGATGAAAATTTCCTTTGAGGCATCACTAGGATGTGTTTTGTGATGATATGCAGTTAAAGGTAGATCTTATTGCATCCTTTTTGAGTTTTACTTAGGTTTAAGGCAATAGCATCTGTTGGCTCCCAAGATGTGCAGCTCTTATTTGAATACATACAGTCATTTTGAATCAGCAGCTATTTAATTTCCATAGAACGCTTTCTGCAAATTTTGCAGATTTGGAATTTTCCAAGAATGCCTATACCAAAAATACACACTAAACTTAACTAACTCTTGCTAAGACCAATGTCTGAACAGCAGACAACAGAAGATGTTCCTGCTTCTGTGGCCAAGATCCTTCTCCCTGCCCTGCCTTTGATGTTGATGCCTTAGTGAAGAGGAGCAGCATGTCCCAGAAAGAGATGTTTGACTTTTAGACACTAGAATAATGGTCAGTGGTACCAGAAGGGAGCCCACTGACACAGCAGCAGCAAGCCAGAGAAAGCCAGGCCCTCTGCTAGGGACTGTCTAGGGATACATAAGCAGATGGGTCATGTGGTGATGGTTCACCTGCAAAAATAACTCAGACACCCTCTAACTCCTGGGATGGATGGGCAGAGGCACTGGCACCTTAGCAGAGGTCTGAGTGAGACCCAGGCTGGAAAGTGAGTCCAAGCAGTGCTGGCACTGCCACCCACAGCTCAGTCTCTGCTGCCATGGGCACCTCTGCGCTTGGGGACTGGACACAATGGGTGAGGATCAGAGTAACAGGCAGCAGGACTGAAAGGTGCTCATGTGGGCAAGAACATGTGTCCAGCCTGTTGCCAATGGCTTCCTGCAGCCTAGGGACCACTGGGAGCCATCACAGGTGCTGCAGGAGGGATGAGGAGCAGTGGATGTGGGGGAAGGCCCATGTCAGCCAAAATATGCATTTGATTTCAGAGCCAAGGAGATCAGCCAGTACTGACTCAAATAAGGCACTGTATCATCCAACCAAGTGTTTTCCTGGAAATCCTTTTCAGACTCCCTGATGACTCCCAGACAGCTTTAGTTGCATCTTTGGTGTAGACTGACAGTGGGCAGGTTGCTAAAAACTGTACATGGCATAAAATTTCAGCCATGCCAGAAGCAAGATGACATTCTCTAAAAAGAAGAGCAAGTACTTTTTCACACATATAGGCAGAGAAATTAAGAGCTACTTAACTTGCTTTCTGCAGATGCTAGAGTATAGAT